CTCACCTGCCTGCCTGATCACCCCTAACCACTCACCTGCCTGCCTGATCACCCCTAACCACCTCTGCCTCAGCCCCCACCACTGCAGCTTCATCCAGAATGACGTCCGGAATGGCATCCAGAAGGTCGTTCGGCTGTCGATCTAATTAGCATATGACACTTTTATTATTATAGATTTATTTCTTTTTTACCCTCATCTGAGGATATTTTTTCCATTGATTTTTTAGAGAGAGTGGAAGAGAGAGGGAGAGACAGAGAGAACCATCGATGTGAGAGAAACACATTGGTTGGCTGCCTCCTGCACGCATCTTGATCAGGGCCTGGGCCGGGGAAGAGCCTGCCACCGAGGCACATGGCCTTGACCGGAATCGAACCCGGGACGCTTTTGGTCCGCAGTCCGATGCTCTATCCACTGAGCCACACCGGCCAGGGCTAGGGCATCATCCTTGATTTCAAATGGATTGAGCGAGTCAGCTGAGCTTGGCTCCCGCCGACCCTTGTAACAGCGCGTTGCCGCTTGGTAACAAGCATCCCCAGTCTGCTCCTCACACACCGGCTTCCATGTCGTCTTCCTTGTCACACCCACAGAGGGGGAAGTTCCCACAGCAGGGCTGCAGCCAGGGTTTCCAGAGGGAGTTGAACACGGACAGCTGCTGGGGGGCCGGGGCGAGCGTGCGACGGTGCCCGTGGACGGCATCCTCGATTTTCTGGACCACGGAGTCAAATAACGCCTCGTTGTCCGGGCTGAGAGGTTGGCTCTCGGAGGGGTCCCTCGAGATATCGAAGAGCAGGGGAGGGTCGTGGTAGGTGACGTCTCCCGTACAGGAGCAGATCCCACGGGCATAGCAGGCGCCGGCTCCCGCCGGCGAAAAGTTGGGCGTCACATAATGAACCTTCCACACGGTGCCACCTGGAAAGACGAGACCCATGGGGATGCCGTATTTTTTTTTAAATATATTTTATTGATTTTTTACAGAGAGGACGGGAGAGGGACAGAGAGTTAGAACCATCCATCAGCTGCCTTCTGCACACGCCCTACCGGGGATGTGCCCGCAAACAAGGTACATGCCCTTGACCGGAATCGAACCCGGGACCCTTCAGTCTGCAGGCCAACGCTCTATCCACTGAGCCAAACAGGTTAGGGCAGGGAGGCTATATTTGTGATTGTTTTAGCATTTTGGCGGGGGGGAGGGCACGAATATTCTTTATTAATGTACTCATCCCCCAAATTTACTGAACACCAATTATGTGTAATTTGAGCATTATATTATTACGAGAGGCCCGGTGCACGAATTCGTGCACCAGTGGGGTCCCTCGGCCTGGCCTGTGGGATCAGGCCGAAACCGGCTTTCCGACATCCCCCGAGGGGTCCTGGATTGCGAGAGGGTGCAGGCCAGGCCGAGGGACCCCACCGGTGCACGATTGGGGCCGGGGAGGGACGCGGGAGGTTGGCCAGCCGGGGAGGGTCCGCGGGAGGGCTCCAGGGCATGTCCAGCCCGTCTCGCTCAGTCCCGATCGGCCGGACCCCAGCAGCAAGCTGACCTACTGGTCTGAGCGTCTGCCCCCTGGTGGTCAGTGCACATCATAGCGAGAGTTGAGTAGCCTTAGCATATCATTAGCATATTACGCTTTGATTGGTTGAACGGACAACCGGACACTTAGCATATTCGGCTTTTATTATATAGGATAAGGCCCTATTAAACACAATCTTTTAAATACATCACTTTGCTCAATTTTTTGTTTTTTTCTTTAGTTTAATTTAAATTCTTTATTGTTTAAAGTATTACTTGAGTCTCCTTTTTTCCCTACATTGACCTCTCCCCGGCCACTCCGACCCCCCAACACATGCCCTCACCCCCATACTGTCTGTGTCCATGGGTTACGCTCATATGCATGCAGACAAATCCTTTGGTTGATCTCTTACCCCCTTTTAAAAAATATTTTTTAGTGATTTCATTGAGGAAGGGAGAGGGAGAGAGAGAGAGAGAGAGAGAGAGAGAGAGAGAGAGAGAAACATCAATAATGAGAGAGAATTATTGACAGGCTGCCTCCTGCACGCCACCTACTGGGAATCAAGCCCGCAACCCAGGCATGTGCCCTGACCGGGAATCGAACTGTTTTTTTGGGGGGGGTGTTTTATAATGTATGTTTTTCTTTTTGAAAAACAATATTTTTAAAAGAGGCAGTACCTTAGACGGTTTGGCTCAGTGGACAGAGCATCAGCCCGCAGACTGACATATGTGCCATTTGTCCAATGTTCGATTCCAGTCAAGGGCACCTACCTCAGTTGCAGGCTCGATCCCCAGTCCCAGTTGCGGGGTGCGTGCAGGAGGAAGCCAATCAATCTGTCTCTCTCACATCGATGTTTCTCTCTCTGTGTCTCTCTCCCTCCCTTTCACCCTCTCTGAAAATTAATGGGAAAAAATATATTTGGGTGAGGATTACCCCCCCCCCAAAAAAAAAAATACAGAGGAAGTTAGTGACGGAGGAAGAATAAAGTTCACTCCCTGTTGCTCATTTTTTTTCAATGTTCTTCATTGTGAACATTTGTATTCTCTCTCTCTCTCTCTCTCTCTCTCTCTCTCTCTCTTTTTCTCTCTCTCTTCGCCGATTAAAAGGATTCAGGTTAAGGGAACTGTGGGACAATGTGAAACGTAACAAAGCTCCAATAGAAGGAGTGCCAGAAGAGGCAGAAAAGGAGAGAGGAACAGAGAACGAGTTTGAAGAAATAACGGCGGAAAACTTCCCTGACCTGGTAAAGGAAAAAGGTCACACAAGTGCAGGAGGCACGGAGAACCCCAAAAAAGAAGAACCCAAACAGGCCCAAACATCGCCATGAAAATGCCAAAAAATTGAAGGCAAAGCAAGAATCTTGAAGGCACCCCTAGCCAGTTTAGCTCAGTGGATAGAGCGTCGGCCTGCGGACTCAAGGGTCCCAGGTTCGATTCCGGTCAAGGGCATGTACCTTAGTTGCGGGCACATTCCCAGTGGCGGGGGCCGGGGGGGGGTAGGAGGCAGCTGATGGATGTTTCTCTCTCATCGATGTTTCTGGCTCTCTGTCCCTCTCCCTCCCTCTCTGTGAAAGGTCAACAAAATATATTTTAAAATAAGAAAGAATCTTGAAGGCAGCAGGAGGAAAGCAAGTGGTTACATACAAAGGAGCTCCCATAAGGCTGTCCCCTGACTTCTCATCAGAAATGGTTACATACAAAGGAGCTCCCATAAGGCTGTCCCCTGACTTCTCATCAGAAATGGTTACATACAAAGGAGCTCCCATAAGGCTGTCCCCTGACTTCTCATCAGAAACTCCACAGGCCAGAAGGGAATGGAAGGCAAGGATCTGAGACCAAGATGACTCTATCCAGCAGGGCCATCGTTCAAGATTAAAAGGAGAAAGGACTATGTCGCTGTCACACACCCACGCGTTTCCCGTCTTGGAACTCACAGTCTTTCTGATGCCACCTGACGGTGTGCAGGTACACCCCGCAGTAGTGGAAGAGGAACTCGTGGTTCGAATGGCGTGCCCGGCCCTCCAGCAGCGGCATCAGGTTCTGGCCGTCGATCACTCTGAGGAGGGAGAGGAAAAGGCGGGAGGCGGCGAGGGAGTTTGGGTTTAGTCTCCTGTCTTTTTTAATATAATTTCTTTTTTATTTTTCTTTTTAAATATATTTTATTGATTTTTTTACAGAGAGAGAAGGAAAGGGATAGAGTTAGAAACATCAGTGAGAGAGAAACATTGAGCAGCTGCCTCCTGCACGCCCCCCACTGGGGATGTGCCCACAACCAAGGTACATGCCCTTGACCGGGACTCGAACCCAGGACCCTTTGGTCCACAGGCTGACGCTCTATCCACTGAGCCACACCGGTTAGGGCAAGTCTCCTGTCTTATAAGGGAAGGCAGAAGAGGAGGGGGAGATGGAGGAGGAAGAGAGAGAGGAAGGAGGAGAAGGAAAAGGAGTTGGAGGAGATGGAGGAGGAGGAAGAGGAGGAAGAGATGAAGAAGGAGATGGAGGAGGGAGAGGAAGAGAAGGAGGAGATGAGGAGAAGAAAGCTAAAGTTTCACATTTTTTAATAAAAAATTGTCAATTAATGAATGCATCAATAAGTGGAACAACCATCTCTCTCTCTCTCTCTCTCTCTCTCTCTCTCTTCCTTAAATCATAAAATTAAACCCAGGCCCGGCTGGCATGGCTCAGTGGTTGAGCATGAAGCTATGAACCAGGAGGTCGAGGTTCAATTCCAGGTCAGGGCACATGCCCGGGGTTGTAAGCTCGATCCCCAGTAGGGGGCGTGGAGGAGGCAGCCGATCCATGATTCTCTCTCATCATGGCTGTTTCTATCCCTAAGATCTGTTTGGAGAGAGAGAAGAAAGATGAAACACGCGGACAAGGATGTGCGACACTGGTGTAAAGAATCTATGAACAGCCCTGACCGGTTTGGCTCAGTGGATAGAGCGTCGGCCTGCGGACTGAAGGGTCCCAGGTTCGATTCCGGTCGGGCATATGTGCCTTGGTTGCGGGCACATCCCCGGTGGGGGGTGTGCAGGAGGCAGCTGATCGATGTTTCTCTCATCTATGTTTCTAGCTCTCTGTCCCTCTCCCTTACTCTCTGTAAAAAATAAATAAAATTTTTTTTTAAAAAAAAAGAATAAGAATAGCCCTGGTCAGTGTGGCTCAGTGGTCAGAGCATCGGCCTACACACCATCAGTCGGACATCCTTAGCATTGCTGCTTTGCTTGCCAGTTGTGAGCCCGGCTTCTGGCACACTGACCACCAGGGGGCAGCTCCTGCGTTGAGCATCTGCCCCCTGGTGGTCAGTGCGCGTCATAGCGACCGGTTGTTCTGCCGTTCGGTCGATTTGCATATTAGCCTTTTATTATATAGGAGACCCCCATGCAACTCAAATCTACCTCCACAGATTTGGAGCAAGCCGTGTGGTTTCTTACCTGTCCACGGGCAAAATCCCTCCAGCGACGTAAGACAGCGTTGGGTAGATGTCCATGAGGCTGGTGGGCTCGTCAATGACTCTCCCAGCCTCCAGCGCGGCCGGCCAGCGGAATATTCCGGGGACGCGGATGCCCCCTTCCCATCCGCCCATCCCTTTCCCACCTGGAAGCAAAGAGAGGAGAGGAGACCATGAAAATTCAACTCAACCGTATCATGGGCCGCTCAACAGGAAATGAAACCAAGACGTAAAGTTGGCTTGTTGTATTGACGGCGGCGTGCTCGCCTCAAGGGGAGTGAGATACAAGTGGGCGTGAGCTATACTTCTTGCCTTCAACAAGTGAAATCTCGTCCGGCCAGTGTGGCCCAGTGGTTGAGCGTTGAACCATGAACCAAAAGGTCAAAGGTTGGATTCCCAGTCAGGGCACATGCCCGGGTTGTTGGCTGGATCCCCAGTACCTATCTAATCTAGCTGTCTCTGTATCTATCTATCATCTCTGTACGTGTGTGTGTATCTATGTATCTATCATCTATCTATGTATCAATCTATCATCTACCTGTCTATGTATCTATCATCTATCTTTGTATCAATCTATTATCTATTATCTATGTATTATGTATGTATCTATCATCTATCCATCCACCCATCATCTATCAATCTATCATCTGTCGATCATTTATCTACCTATCTATCATGTATCTATCTATCTATCTATCTATCTATCTATCTATCATCTATCTATCTATCATCTATCTATCTATCTATCTATCATCTATCTATTTATCTCTATAATCTATCTATCTATCTATCTATCATCTATGTATATCTATCTATCATCTATCTATCTATCTATCTATCTATCTATCTATCTATCTATCATCTATCTGTCTTTCTATCTAGTGATTGAGACATGGCATCCATGAAAGAGAAAAATAAAAGAATGAACAGAGAGTAGAAGTACTGAGGAAGAAATCGCTAGGAAATTGTTAAAAATAATAATAACAATATGAGCCCTAACTGGCTCAGTGGATAGAGCGTCGGCCTGCGGACTCAAGGGTCCCGGGTTCGATTCCCGGTCAAGGGCATGTACCTTGGTTGCGGGCACATCGCCAGTGGGGGGTGTGCAGGAGGCAGCTGATCGATGTTTCTCTTCTCTCATCGATGTTTCTAACTCTCTATCCCTCTCCCTTCCTCTCTGTAAAAAATCAATAAAATGTATTTTTTAAAAAAATAATAATAACAATATGAAGTGATATGAAAAAATAGCCAATAGAGTTTCAAAACATAGAATAGAGAACTGAAAAGCATCAATATGTCACCATGTATATTTATATACTGTATACGAGGCCCCAAGAACACTAAGAAATGCAAAAAATTCACTGTTCATAACTCAATCTCACCCTAGTCGGCTTGGCTCAGTGGATAGAGTGTTGGCCTGCGGAATGAAGGGTCCTGGGTTCGATTCCCGGTCAGGGTACATGCCCGGGTTACAGGCTCGATCCCCAGTAGGGGGCATGCAAAGAAGAAGAAGAAGAAGAAGAAGAAGAAGAAGAAGAAGAAGAAGAAGAAGAAGAAGAAGAAGAAGAAGAAGAAGAAGAAGAAGAAGAAGAAGAAGAAGAAGAAGAAGAAGAAGAAGAAGAAGAAGAAGAAGAAGAAGAAGAAGAAGAAGAAGAAGAAGAAGAAGAAGAAGAAGAAGAAGAAGAAGAAGAAGAAGAAGAAGAAGAAGAAGAAGAAGAAGAAGAAGAAGAAGAAGAAGAAGAAGAAGAAGAAGAAGAAGAAGAAGAAGAAGAAGAAGAAGAAGAAGAAGAAGAAGAAGAAGAAGAAGAAGAAGAAGAAGAAGAAGAAGAAGAAGAAGAAGAAGAAGAAGAAGAAGAAGAAGAAGAAGAAGAAGAAGAAGAAGAAGAAGAAAGAGAAATAAACGCCCATGCATCGCGGTGGGAGCAAGCCCAGCCTCACACTCCGAGGCGCCCCAGCCCCTGATCCTCACCTTTGTAGACCCCGTTCCAGCCGCCCAGCTGCACCCCGCGGGCCTGCGCCTCCAGGCTGCCCCCGTGGTCCGAGGTGAAGTACACCAGCGTGTGATTGGCCAGGCCCTCCTGGTCCAGGACCTCCAGGACCTTACCTGCCACAGGTGGAGACAGGAAGCGGTCGGCCCGTCGCCTCTCCGCGGGGACCGGCGCTGTTAATCCTGGGGTCACTGCGATGCGTTAGCTCCACATCACAGCGTGGTCGGATGAGAGTTTATCATGGACTAGAGGCCCGGTGCATGAAATTCGTGCACTGGCGGGGGTTGGGGGGGTGTCCCTCAGGCCGGCCTGCCCCCTCTCCAATCCGGGACCCCTTGGGGGGTGACCGACGGCCGGTTTAGGGATCGGGACTGAAGTGGCAGTCGGACATGCCTCCTACAATCCGGGATCGCTGGCTCCTAACCGCTCACCTGCCTGCCTGCCTGATCGCCCCTAACTGCCCCCCCGCCGCCAGCCTGATCGCTCCGAACCACCTCTGCCTGCCAGCCTGGTTGCCCCCCACTGCCCCCCCTGTTGGCCTGGTGGCTCCCAACTGCCCCTCTCTTCCAGCCTGGTTGCCCCTAACTGCACCCCCCCCCTGCTAAACTGGTCATACCCAACTGCCCCCCCTGCTGGCCTGGTCGCTCCCAACTGCCCCTCTCTGCCAGCCTGGTTGCCCCTAACTGTC